CATTACCCGACCCGATTACCTTACCCGTTTACCCACAACCATTGAATCGTGTATATATATAAATACATACACATATATATATTTATAACTTATAATAAATATAAAAGTAGTTACGTGTTTTTTTTTAATTAGATTATCTATTATAATTTTGATTAATGGTTAAATTTATTTTATTTTTATTATTTTATTATCACTTTTTTGTTAGTTGTACAATAAAAAAATTAAATACTTAATTTTAAATTTTATAATATTAAATAGACTATAAAGGATAAATAATCATATCTCATTATTTATTCCAACAATAATATACTTTTTTTTTTACAGTTTTTTATTGTCAAACTTAGTTAATAAGTTATTTCTTACATTATAATTAACTAGTAATCACCCGTGCGATGCACGGGGATATTATCACTTTTTCTTTTGTTTACAATTATATTTTAAAAATAAATTGTGTACTAACAAAATGATCATGATCATAAGAATAGACATACAAACATATAATTAAACTAAAAAGATCATATATTATTGAACACTTCCCTATATACGACATTATTGGTTTGATTATTTGACACATCATCTTCGCCACAAATTAAGATTTTCAAACCCTTTCAGTTAGGGACACGGGAGACAGTAATATATAATTGTCCATGACTAAACACCGGTTTCTTAAGAAATAAGGCAACATGGGATAAAGATTGTCCTTGACTCTTGTTTATAGTCATGGCGTAAGAAACCATAATGGGAAATTGCCGTCGCTGGTACTTGAAAGGAATTCTAACATCAGAAGGAGTTATGGTCATTCTTGGAATCAACACCGTATCACCAGCATTATCTCCTGTGAGTATCTTACACTCAAGAATATGAGTGGATAGTTTTGTCACAACCAATCGTGTCCCATTACACAAACCCATAGAATGGTCCATGTTACGCAACAACATGACTGGAGTTCCAATCTTCAAATACAACTCATGGTTCGATATTCCGGAACACTTGATACTGTTAAAAAACTCAGGCGTATGGAGATCAGACAAAAAATCATTATTGGAATCCGATTTCCGCGTACTATCAGAGCTCAAGTATATACGACCATCCAACAAATTCAATGATGTCATGTACTTATTGATATACTCGACCACATCCAACGTCAGCGCTATTATAGCCCTATCCTTCAAATAACCTGGATCGAGGCGCCTCCTTATACATTGGATATGTGCTTTCAACGATTTGAGCAATAGGATCATCAGACAAAATGTCTTCGGGTATGTCTATAAGTGTACACCCGTCATTCGACCCCCCGATAGTTCCATCTCCGATGTTGGCTATCCAATCTGTAAACTG